AAAAAAAAACACATCATAGTAAAACCAATACCTTCTCCGCTTCGCAACGAAGCTAAAAGGGTTAATAAATTTTCCGAGCCTTAGATTTAAAATTAATATTTTTATTTTATTAGTAAAATTTATATATTGTAAACAACGTATTCATGAATAAAAAAATTATATAAGCAAAAAATTACATATTAATCTTTAGAAATAAATTGTTAGGTTGGTTTGATTACTTTGAATTTAATGCCGCAACATAATCTAAAACACCAAAAAAAAAAAAATGATTAAATCATTCGTTGAAAATAATTTATAATTAAGAAATATCAAAAATGAAATTTATCGATTAGTTTAATTATTGTATATTATTTATATTTTATGGAGATATAAACTGTGTTTAGTGACACAAGACAAAAGAATTTTCACGGTTATACCATACAAAATGGGATTTGCCAGGTTTATTGAAGAAAATTTATTCTCCTGCTTTATAAATCTCCATTACAACTTTTGAGCAAATATTTCCAAAGTAATTAAAGGTTTATTCGCTATCAATCTATATAATTTTTATTATTCTAGATCCCCAATATACCAATTGGAAACTTATCTGTTTTATTTTTAATTCTATATGTCGTCATACTCATCGTAACTGATGATGCAAGTAGCAAGAGCAAACAATGATTACATATATATATAATCTTTCACATACAAATAGATTGCCTACAGGTTTTAACACTCAGTACAGCTGTATAGGGTCATTCCATGTGAAATCACCTTATGTGTGTGCTGGTATAGTTCAGAAATTTATATCATAGACTTCTTAAAGGTCATTGACAACAAAAATAATATTTTTTTTTTTTTATTGTTTTTTTAAACATGAAAAAACAGCCTATGTTCTAGACCCTATACCTTCACATCCAAATAAGCTAACACTGTGGAACTAGCACTGTTTTACTCATATTAATTAAATAGTACTTCAATTTCATTCTTAAGTTTATCAATTTTGAATTTTTTTGAACATCGAAATTTTGATTGAAATTTTTTTAATTTTGCAGTATTTTAATAGCAAAATTTGAAGGTCAAAAAACTTTTTAATTAAAAATTTATTTTTCTTTTCAGAAACTTTTAGCAATGTTCTTTTAAACAATATCATATTTGAATCGATTTATAATTTTTTTTGAATCGTTTTACGGTCGTGAACACGCATGGTTTGCTGAAAATAGCCAACTTTATCATCTCATTAAACAAAAGTGGCTGAACGAATTATTTTCATATTTACATAATACTTTCCTTTAGGCAATTAAAACGTCCGTTGAAAATTTTTTGACCTTGAATAAAATATATTATTTTGGTTGTCAATGACCTTTAAGAAGTCTATGATATAAATTTCTGAACTATACCAGCACACACATTAGGTGACTTCACATGGAATGACATTATAGTGAATGTTACCGATAATTTTGGGTCTAAGTCCTGGTGAAAAACACCATGGCACATCTACTTATTACATTCATCTAGTTTAAATAAATTTATTAATTTATTTATATCCATTTTCATAATAACGTCAAAATGCTTCAATTTTCTATAATTATTACGATTTTTGGTTAGAGATTGTTCACATTTACAAATTGCCGTCTTTTACTATTACATATCTACATATTTGTATATATATAAATACAGAGTAATTTTTTTATCATAACCCATTCAATTACTTGCAGAATAATAATAATTTAAACATTTTTTTTTTCATTATCTTTAGTTACACATTATTCTTGAATTTTTAACTATGTAATACTTTTTAAGTTCATCCCTTATGCCTTGGAAGGGGGTCAACTTTGTTTTTTTAAATGGTAACATATTTTTAATTCAATAAAATGTTTGAGTTTTTAATTTAATAGTAAATGGTATTTGAATTTTTAATATAACTTAATTCGTTTATTAGATATAATCATTTAAAGTTTCAAATTTTTGAATTAATATACAGGTATTATACACAAGGAATTACAAATATAGGTAACTAATTGGTTTTTTATAACATCGATATTAGCAGGTACACAGCATTGTTATTATCAATTGTAGTAAGGCACATTGTTATGAGTTTATAAATACACTAACTGACAATACAGAAAGTATATCTATTGATAATCATAATTGATAATAAACAATCCGTGACTGAGACAGCAATGTCATAAAAATCCAATTAGCTACCTGTATTTACAATCCCATGTGTATTATACATGTATATTAACTCAAAATTTTGAAACTTTAAATGTTTATATCTAATAAGCTAATAAAGTTATATTAAAAATTCAAATGCCATTTACTATTAAATTAAAAACTCAAACATTTTATTAAATTAAAAATATGTGTTACCATTTAAAAAAACAAAGTTGACCCCCCTCCAAGGCATAAGGGATGAACTTAAAAAGTATTACATAGTTAAAAATTCAAGAATAATGTGTAACTAAAGATAATAAAAAAAAAAAAATGTTTTAATCTGCAATTATTCTGCAAGTAATTGAGTGGGTTATGCTAAAAAAATCACCCTGTATATTATGAACTTAATTATCTTACGATCTTCTGTAAAAAGATGTTGACTACCAATCATGTGCAATCCTGCAGTTAGATTATTACTGTCCGCGGCTGTTACATGTCCCCCATTATAACATTGTTTCAAAAGTGCCATTACTTCGTAATTAGCTAGAGAATTTTTGTATCTTATGTCATGAGTTTTAAATAAAAGATTGGGTATATCTGTTGGCAGTAGATTATTATTACATATCTTTTCGAAAGCTTTTCCATCAAATCTACCTTCTAAAACATAAAAAGTAAAATATTACCAATATAGCTTAAAAAATATATTTGCTAACAAACATCATTTTATTGTATCAACATGGTATCTAACAAAGTTTATCCATTCTGAAATTTTAAGAAATATGATCAAAGCAATTTGAAAATTACAAAATCAAAACATAAATTATAAATTTGTTTCAAAAAACCAACAAGCTAAATACAAAATTCTAAATTATTGTTTCATTTAAGATGAAAAAATCACCATAGTATTCACACAATACATGAACACAAAACATGACTTATTATTGAAAAACTAATTACAAATGTATTACATAAAGTTTATGTGTTGGAAGTCTATCACATAACTTTATGTATCCTTTAACTAGCCAGTTCTCCCATAACAATGACAATGCAATGTAATATTGTTACCAATACATAAGTACTATGAATCCTACAAAATGACTATGCATACGGCATCAAGATTTTTGTAGAGAATTAATTAATTTAAAAATATATTTATAAATCTTGAACTTACTTTCATTAGCATATTTTTGAATTTCATTTTCATTTAAAACAAAATCATTTTTACCCAAATATTTTAATGTCCTACGAATGTCTTTCACATTTATTGTGTTTCTTGAAATATCGTGATTGCGATAAACTTTAAAACAATATTGGTAATAATTTTCCCATGTTTTATTTTGCTCTGTTTGAAGCTATAACAAAATTAACAAATATATTTCATGATAAAACATATTCAGTCAATTATTGGAATAAGGGCGTAACTTCAAATTATGTGCTTCTCATAAAAAAAATGTATTTTTAAATAATTTAATATTTCTTCATTATATATTACCATTTAATGTATTGAATTAATTGATAAAATAGTTTATTTTATTATAAACTTGGGCCAATTTGTTAGCTTCATTGCGTAGCTGAGTTAATACTAATTTTACTATGTCAGTTTTACTCTTCTTCCACTTAACCAATTTTATTCAACAATAAGTCAAGAGATCACAAATCGTCTCTAGTTGAATCTATCAGTGCCTTAATTTCAAACAATTTCTCCTCAATTCCCACGATAAAAGAAATTTCACAAAAATTACATGGTTATAAACAGTCAATATTGATATTTTTAGTTTTCATTATTATTCAATACAAAATGTCGTAAAAAGATTATAGAATAATCTAAGTACTGGGAAGGGTTGAACATTATGAACTTTTTTTCTGTGCAATTTTTTATAATTTTCCAAATGCCTATCTCCTACATAAAATTAAATTTAACACAAAGTAATTTGATGCAAACAAGAAAACTATCCTAAATTTTGATCTCTAGGAGTCATTGGATATTAAGCTAAATTTTTGATAAAAATGGCCGATTTTGAAGTTTTTAGTATAAAAAAAAAACATTAACACCACTCAAAGTTTAATGTTTTTTAAGTATTTTACGAGTAAAAAAGAATGATCATAGATGGCTTGAATCTATGAGTAATCGGCCTTTAAAAAAGATAACCGTGTAATATTTAATAGATATGATAAACCACTTTAACTGATGAAATAATGTATGTATCAATATAAAATTTTCAGAGATAATTTTTTTTTTTTTATTCGCTTTATCAGCCCATTAAGGGCAATAGCGGCCTACCCCAAAGAAGGAGATTTCTTAACCATTTATACTCCGAGACAGGTGGTTAGTCTGTCACCGGAGAAAGGGATGGTGACTCCAATTACCGAACTGATCTCTCGTTCGGCAAATGAAACCGACCGTGACCCAATTACGAACCCAAGCCAGGGCGCGTCAAATACTCCCACGTTACCGACTTGGCCCCACCGCCCACATTAAGACAAGTACCTTAATTTAAAATTATTTTTTTTGAAATCCTATCATTTACCAAATTACCAAGAGGAGGCACAATTATTATACCAAATTATTTTATTTTATATTTTTTATAATATTCTAAAAACCTGAATTCATTAAACATACATCAAATTAAAGATAATGCAATGTATTTAACAGAAAAAAAAACTATCTGAAATCTCAATTTCTAAGAGTTTAAAGTTTTAAAGCGAAAAATCTGTAATTTTCTGAAAGAATGTGCCAATTTTGTAATATTTTGTATAATCAACTCAATATATACATCATTCTAAATTATTTTGTCATGATATCAATACGTCAAGATTATATTATAGAAAATATTAAAATAAATTAGGAATGTACTACCAACACTGGCAACTGATAATTTGATACGTATCAAATAGTTTTACGGATGTGATTTTAATTATTGTCAGATATCAATGAATCTAAAAAGTGCCTTAACTCCTCACTTTACAGGAAAATTTACCGATTTTAAATATCTTAATTTTTTGTCAGATTTCTCTAACATTTGGAGAACGAGGGGAATTTTTCCAATATTTTATAGTAATTTCTTTAACTAGATATGATATGTGATCTTTTGAGGTATCTTTGAAAGAAATCGGTTCGGTAAAACCTAAGAAAAAGTTGTAACAGACAGAAAAAAGCATAAGCATATCATGATAAAAATACCTTATCAAAACTAAAAATATAAATTAATTATTGCAACTAGGAAGATATCATGATATTATTATTGATTAAAATAAAAAAAATCGCATGAATAAATGTTGTTCCAATTTTAACCAATGACTTGATAATAGCTTTCTAAGTGAAAACACTATGTACAATTATTTATTTAATTATACTTCAAGTTTTTTCACTAAATTAATTCCTTATAATTTTATTATGAATAAATAATTATTATAAAATATATCTATTGTTATTAATATTTTACTCGATCATGTTCCTTTCGTACTAAGTCCATTTTTTCTTTTGATAGTTTTGCTGATACACATGAATATAAATCAATCACATAGAACACGAAAAGTACAATAAAACATTTAGTAAGAGACATGGTTGATATACAAAGAGGTTAAGAATAATAATATCTAAGATGTACTCAACTTGAGGATTATAATTCATTTATATACTTTTTTATTTAAAAAATAAATGAAAATTGTTTTACATTAATCTTAAAATTAGCAAATATTTAGCATAAAACTATTTGTGTTAATCATTCAAACTTATAAACATATTTGTCATATTTAAACTGTTGAGATAAAAAAAATATTTTTTCAAATTTTTTGAATTTACCAAATTTAATTGCTTATGTGCTATACAAGGTAATTTTTTTAACGTTAGACACTCAATTTTTCTTAAAATATGAAATCATATGAAACATTTTTTTTTTTTGGTTTTTGTTAATTACGTATGTATCCGTTTATCTGTTATCGAGATAATTTTTAGAGTCTTCCATTATAACTTATAGGAGTGCCAATTTTATTTTTTCAAATGGCAATGTACTTAATTAACTAGTTTATTTATTAAATAATGGTGTAATTAAGATAATTATTGGTCGATAACAACTTTTTAATTAGTATTTCAGAAGTTATTCACAATATAATAATAATATATTGACAGGAGGTGAAATCTGGGTGTTGCTATTTTTACCACGAGTAATTCTCCGGCTGTATAAGAGTTCCTCTCGCCTAAGTGTATAAATGAGAATAACTACCAAAGTACTAGTCCTAAAGTTGTTATCGACCAGTCATTTTCTTAATTATATTATTTTCTATTTTATAAACTAGTTTAATATGTATGTTTCCATTAAAAAAAGATTGACACTCCAATAAGATATAAGAGATGGACCTAAAATTTATATATTAACAGAAATGGAAATACATATATAACTAAAACCAAAAAAAAATTTCAAAAGGTTTCATATTTAAAGATAAAATATGCTAGCGATAAAAATCACAAAGAATCAGAGGAGCTACTGCCCCCTCTATAATTTTAACCAGCCTACGACTATGTGAATCTTTTTACAAAATACCAAAAGTATACGGTTGGTTTAACAATTCGATGACAGATATAGTGATGTTAATAACATGTTATTTTAACAACACTCAAGAAACGCATAATCTATAGCGCTAGAATAATAAATTATTATTGAATTCGGTAATTTTTAGTTTGTCATAACTAACGCTATTATAATATACATAATTAGTATTGAGATATCTAAATAACTATATATATATATATTTATTTAAATTGATATAATATTATCTTTTACCTATGCAAGATGATTTTAATTATGGTTTTCTAAGATTGTTTTTTGTTGTTTAAATGAGAAATCAGAGATGTATTTATGGAGGGCTCGATGAGCAAGAACTTCCCTCTACACAAAATTAATACGACAGAAAAATTTTCCTTCAAAAAGATTTTTAGAAAAAAAATAGTCATCAAAAATAAAATTACGATAAACATATCTAAACACGTGTCTGTAATATTTTAATAATCCACGAATGTTCAACAGTAATTTATTTTATTATAATTCATGGACATTTAAAAATAATATATTACGATAAAATTATAAACCACAGCTGTGCACATTATATTCAAACGTGCATAATTTTTGTAAATAATCTTGTTATTTTTCGATAGAGCAATAAAAAAAATAGAATTTGTGGCAAATTACTGATTTTGTATTAATATCATTTCATATTATATGATTTATGTTGTATTTATACTCAAAATAGTCCTAAATATTAAGCTAATTAAATAAAATAAGGAAACGGATAATCTTTATTTTTTAAGTCTCTATAGGTAAAAGGTTTCACTTTTATAAAAACACTAAGCAACATTGACATTTATTACCTATTTAATTGTGGTATTATTATTTTACGAAACAAACAATTGTTAGATTACCATTACAAACCCAACCAAACTAGAGGAGAGAATTTGTAGACCCAAAAAAACTAAACATGCATATACTTCTGCAATTAAAAATCTCAAAATACGCAACCCAACCCTCCACCAATCACCGGTCCACCAGTCATGAAGATATTCCCGTCGATTTGTGTAAATAACTCAATGTGGCGTTTTGTATACAATTTAAAGGGGACATTTTTTAAAAATTATTTAAACTCGTCTGTTGCTCATGTAGGGGTATTATCATTCGCATTCAAAAACGGCGTAACATTCCTACACGTCCGATAGTTTTTTATTTGCATAAGTAACGACATCACTTTCACCCGTCTCGTTGACATGTTGTAATAATACCGTCCCCACCCTAGTTTCGCTATCAATGGTCTATATACAGACCGTTAATAGCGAAGTAGTTGGGGGAGAGAAGAATAATAAATTGAATATCGGTATTTTGATGTGCTCAAATGCGTTTTGCTTTGCGTTTGGCCATATACAGCTCTGAGCCAGTATAGTAAATCATACAATAAATATCACATGATGTTAAATACATCTTAAGCAAACCAAAGGGAAGTTTTACAAATAATGAATGATATAAACTTATTTTTACAGATTTTTAACCAATTGGTAGTAATTTTTCCCAACCGCCGTATAAACAAATGAAACAACTTGATTCATCAAATTGGGTACTTAATGGATAAAATGTATAGAAACAACTGTACAGCTGGGCCAACCGAAATTATAATTAATGCTTATATTAATAAAATAATTATATAGTTTGAAGAACTAAGTTTTATAATTGATATAATTATAAAAAAATAGTTGACTAAATCTATCAGGCCTAAATAAAATAATTTTATATTACATTTTATAAAATATAATAGTCATTATAAAACAAATATTGTAATAAACGCTTAAAAAATATTTAGATTTGATTGAAATAAAAAATAATCTTTATAATAAAAGTGTAATATTTCTTAATCGACAAAATATTCTGAGTATAAAGTTGCCTATTAAAAAATATTATATAAAATATTTTTCTTAATATTACAAAAAAAAATTCTCTAGTTTAAACTAAAATATTTTATAAATTAAACCAATTTATTAAAGGATAATAAATTACGAAAATGATTTAATTTTTTTTTTAAGTATTGTACACTTATTCCTATAAACAACACAGTCAGATGTTTGTGATAATCTATGTTTTTAAATTTCAATATGGAATCATTCAAAAACTATTTTTTAAACAACATCATACAAATAAATCAAACAAGCCACCAAAATAGTTAGCAAAATGTTTGTTTGTTTAAATTATTTGCTATTGAATATTTATTTTTTCCAAAATTAATCTAAAATATTGTTCATAGAATTTTTTTAGTTTTGTAACTTTTTGAAGAGATGTATTTTATTTTTTATCTAAAAAATATCATCTTCTTAAATAACAGATATACACACAAACTTTTTACTAACACAATAGCCTGATGGCAGATTATCAAATATAATTTTCTAACACAATAGGCATCATCTAGATATTTTTGGGGAACAGCTGCTTCGAATGTCTCTACAGTGGATATACTAATGACGATAATATACAATATTACATATGACGTCAAAACTAGTTAGAAACGATATACCCAAAATTATTAAGGTTTTTAAACGATAGAAAATTGTTAAGTATGTATGTAATCCGCTCAAATTTTGGTAATGTTTTGAGAAAAAATTAGTATTTCAGAAAATAATTTATTAAATTATTGAATACCTGTACAGTGTACACGTAATAGTGTACACTGTACAGCCTATTGAAATCAATAGAATTAAATCGAATGACATCTACGTATTTTATAATTTCGACGCGACGCTGAGAAGATATTAATTTTACTATATGTTTTTTATTTTATTATTTTTTTTTGTGTCTGTTACCACTTTTTCTCAGCTATCACCGAACCGATTTCTTTCAACGATACATCACAAGATCATAAATCGTATCTAATTAAAGACCCTCAAAAACTGTAAAATTTTTCTTCGTTCCTCGTAAATAAAATTAATTTTCGACATTTTTTCAATTTTTTTTTTACTTAAAACTACTATAACTTTTTCAAAAATGACTAAATCAATATAATTTACGTATTTTTTTATAGATACATGATGTCTTTACCTATTATTTGATATATTTTTTTAAATCTGACTATTCACCTACCCACACGATGGAATTCAAAATGATAACTTTTCACAAAAAATTAACTTTTTCAACTTAACTTTTAAAAGTTGAAAGTGTTTCGGAAATACTGACACTTTTATATATACCTTAAATTAAATCTAATATAATATACTTTATTATGAAAAAAGAAATTTCGGACTTTATTTTGTATTCACGATGAATATATTCATATATTACACTTATAAATCATAAAACTTGTAATCAAAATATAAATAAGGAGATAGGAGATCATGTAGCTTTTGGAATAATTATGATTATATAATAATTAATATGTAATTATGATAGTGATTTTAATCACTGTTTAATAAATTATTATCAGGTAATACTGATTTTTAGTCAAAACATCTTCAAAAACCATGTACAATACATATGTACATTTCAATTTTCAATATGAACCTCTAAACTTTATTCGTTTATTAGATATAAACATTCAAAGTTTCAAATTTTTGAGTTAATATACATGTATAATATACAAGGGATTACAAATACAGGTAGCTAATTAGTTTTTTATGACATCAATATTTGCAGGTACACAGCATTGTTATTATCAATGGTAGTAAGGCACATTGTTGTGAGTTCATAAATACACTAACTGACAATATAAAAAGTGTATCTATTGATAGTAATAATTGATTATAAACAATCCATGACTGTGACAGCGATGTCATAAAAAACCAATTAGCTACCAGTATTTGTAATCCCTTATGTATTATACATGTATACTAACTCAAAAATTTGAAACTTTAAATGTTTATATCTAATAAACGAATAAAGTTATATTAAAAATTCAAATGCCATTTACTAGTAAATTAAAAACTCAAACATTTTATTAAGTTCAAAATATGTGTTCCCATTTGAAAAA